GAGCTGCGCTGGCTCCTGCAGCAGATACCGCTGAGAAGAACGGACATCCTCTGGACAGGGAGGAGCAGGGGTGCCCAGCGAGGGGCTGAAACAGCCCAGGAAAGCTCATGAGCCAGCCCAGGCCGGGATGCACAGAGGTGCCCTGTCTGTGCCTAGCCTGGTCCCAGGAGGTCCACCCGTCTGCCCAGCAGTCTTGTCTGTTCCCACCCCTTCTCGTCTGTCTGCTCTCTTGCCAGTAGCAAGATTAGCCACCAGGCTGAGTCTTGGTGGGCAGTTATTTCTATCTTGAGGAATGAGAGGCGTGCTGGGTCCATTCACCAGCCTTCCCCAGAGGATGCAGGAGCTTGGAGACAGGCCTCCCTTCCTTAGAGCTTGGCCCACCCCTCCCCACACTTTCTCTACTAGGACTGGAACCCTGCTCTCACTACTCTGGAGTCTGCCCTGGGAGCTACAGTCCCTGGGGGTATGAGGGGGACACACCAGGCAGAAATGGCCAGGGAGGCAGACACTGGTGACTCATCACATCCCCCATCCTGCTTTCATACTGTCCTCTCCTGCTGCTTCTGCATCTTATTTCAGGCCAGCTGGAGGGTGCAGAGTTCACAGTGGCCTCTGGAACTGACTTGTGCACCAGGACCAGCCAAGGCCCTTGGGTCTTGAGCCTGCCTAGCCACCCCACTCCCTCAGACAGCTCCAGAGCATCCAGAGAGATGAGGGCTGGGGTCTTGCCCTGGGAAAGCCTGCCAGGCACCTACCCATAGTCCTCAGGCCTATCCCAGCCCTGTGGGACATCTGGCCCTAATGTGGCCACAGCAGTGTTTCAAGCAGTTTGTGGACAGTTATCCTTGCTGTCACTGCACCCAGAGCAAGCCTTCTCTGCCTCTCTAGATGTGACAGCCCAGAGGAGGCAGTTGAGCTGACTGCAGCCTCACAGCGCCTTCCTGTGTGGTCACAGAGCTGTTCCCCACACACGCTCACCCATAGATTTCACAAAGCATCCCAGGACCTCCATAAGGTAGATGCGTCTCCCAGAAGGAAGGAGGGCCCCTCTGCCTGTTGTCTCTGTAGCAGGTATGTCTTTGCACACACGGATGACACGCTCTCCTCTGCTCACAGGTGTGACCTCAGCATTCATGTGTGTATCTCAACTGTATATCCTTCCTGGTGCTTGAGGTGGGGGGATGGGCACACCAGGGCTGACCCCTGCTGAGCTGTTCCCCTGCTAGAAGCTATGGGTGGGGCTAGGCACAGGGAGCAAGGTCCTGCAGGGAGCACTTGTGGTGACTGACACAGGAATCCCTTACCTTGCCAGAGTCAGCTGTAGAAAGTGGAGAATGAACCTTCTGCGGTATGGCCAGGAGCTTCTGGAAAGATGAGGCACATAGGAAGGGATACCCCAGACTGTGTGGGCTGGACATAGGGCCAGGAACAGTTTGACCATCCCTTGGCCAAGAGAGGACACTTGGAGGATGGGAGATCAAACAGCAGGGAAGCCCAGTTCTGGGATGACAACGGCCCTGGACATCCTCATTAGTGCAGACACCTGGGACACACGGGAAACTGGGACTGGCGGCTGGACCTACTGCAAGGGGCTCCTGGCTACTGTCTCTCCTTCCACCCACACCCCCTCAACACAGCAGCCAGGGACTGTCCTGCCCCTTCTCTGCCCAAAACCTGGGAGGAATGAAAGCCAGAGCTCTGTGGCCCTCCAGCTGACTGCCCCTCATCTGAGACCTCTGGCCTCCCGCTCTCCTCTGGCTCTGCACCAGCCCCTGAAGGCCCCACCCACCCGCTGCTTTCCCTCTGGGTCCCCACCAACATGTCACCTCCTCAGTGACATATTCATAGTGTTAACCTCACTCCAGCACTTCCTCTCCCACAGAACTTTCCTCCTCACGGTTACTGCAGTGGAACATATTCTTTCTACTTAGATGAGCCCCCCAGGGAGATCTGAGCTCTGTGAGTGCAGCATGGGGTCTCTGCTGTGTTCCCAGCTCTGCTCCAGTGACTTTGACACATTTTCCCATGGAGGCACTCGACACCTGCCTGTTGAATAAATGTGTGTGTGTGTGTGTGTGTGTGTGTGTGTGTGTGTGTGTTTGTGTGTGTGTGCATGCAGGCAGATGTACCTTTAGATGTCTATTTCCAGCATGGACCTATGGTCCAGGATACATAAAGAACTCAGACAAATCAAAAAAGAAAACTCAGTTTTTTTTGAAATGGGCAAAAGACTTGAAGAGGCACTTTGCAAAAGAGGATATCCAAAGGGTGATGAACAAGAAACAGCACCCAGCTTCATTAGTCACCAGAGGAAGGGAAATGAAAACCACAGCACGATACTGCCGCACACCCACAGAATGGCTAATATGAATATGCAGAAAATGCCAAGTGCTGATGAGGACACGGCACAGAGGAAACTCCTGGCCAAGGGGGTAGAGCCACATGGGAAGACAGTCCCATAGTGCCCAGGATAGCTGAGAAACTCCTCCCCAGGGGTAGTGTGCTCACACCAGAGGACACATGTGCATGTCTGTGGCAGCAGGCCTCGCGATGGCTCAGACCACAGCATGCTGTGCTGTGGCCACCCAGCAGAGCAATGAGAGCAGACAAGACCACCATCTCACCACCGCCACAAGGAGCAGAAGAAACTAGGCCTGAAACAGTTGATCAGGATCCCACACACATCAAGCTCCCAGGGGGCTGCTGGGGCTGATGCCTGCTACCCAGGTATCATCCGCTTGAAAAACCACTGAGCTGCACATGCTTATGACTCATGCACATTTGCGTATGTACATACACCTCAGAACAATTTATGTTTAAAAAATAAAGAGAGAAAAAAAAAACAAGAAATAACACCCCAGGCAGCTCACCTGAGCACCAAGAGCCTTCCAAGTCTGCTGTGGGCCACACCGGGAGAAATGACTTGAAGGAAAGAGCATTTTAGGGACACTGGGAGCCTTGGCCTCCCTCTCCTCATCCCCCCAAGACCAAAGGCCCTCTCTGGTGAAAATACCTGCTCCCTCCTTTAAAAAGGCACAGTCTGCAAGGTCTTAGTTTTAGAAGATGGAAAGTGGCCTAAGGAGGGGTTACTGACCTTGCAGAAGAGAGGAAGCTGGAACCCAAGTGCCCCCACTTGGGTGCTGACGAGGATTGCAACAAAGACTTTAGCAGAAGCTAAGACCCCAGAGGCTCAGGTTTCAGGGTGGGGAGAAGGCCAGGCTGCCAGCAGGCCTGGGTGAGTCTGCATGGCACCCAGGATTGGACCTCGAGGGTGAGTAAGCAGATGACCGCAGGGCTCTGTTTCCTGCACGGACTCCCCTCCCCACATCAGCCTGCTGAGGCCTCCACCCCTCCGCAGCCTCATCACCCTGCAGCTGAACAGGCGGAGCTTCAGCCAAGCCCTGAGTGGGACAGGTGAGGTATGCATCCCTGAATTATTGTTTCCTGGGTGTGAAGCAGGTTTGTGATGCCCAACTCACTGGGCAGTTGGAAAAACATGAAGCAAAATGAACCAAGCACCTGGCAAGTTTAGTTCTACTTCTGAGTATCTAGTTCTGAGGGCTCATGGACACAGAAGCTGTGTGCCTGCCCTGGGGGGGCGGCGTGGGCTGCCTGCACTCAGCAACAGTCTACTGAAGCCTTTCCTAGGAGTGCTTCACAGGAATCCATGGGACATGTGTGGCCAGAGGGTTGGTCGACTCTCCTGGAGTGGCACTCACACCCAAGCACACTCCATGGCAGGTGTGCCAGACACCCAGGGCAGAGGGTGCCAGTTCTCTGTTTCAACAGTTGAGAATTTAATGGCTGGTGACCCTGTCCCCAAGGGACCTGGGCCAGTTGGGAGTTTTGATGCCCACTGGAGAACCCACATAGGCCTCTGCATTTTCCTAACACAGTCCCATCAATACTCCCTTTCGGAGAATAACACTCTAAGAAAATGAATCATTAATGATTTTAGGCACCACAGGAGCAAAAAGTATTGGGGTGTAGAACTGGGAGGAGACACAGACCCTTCTGATGCCCTCCTATCACAGAGGTAACCACTCTGTCTAAATCAGCGACCGCAGTTGGGCAGGAACCTCCACAGCCTGTCTGCCCTTTGACTCAGCTCTCCTTTTCGCCCTGACATATCAGCAGATTAAGGGAGAGCTGCCCCCACCTGTCGGCATGTAGCTGGGTGGGTAACCGGCACTAACTAGCCACGCAGACTGCTCATGCACTGGGGCTCTGCCATCACTCTGCCATCAACAGGCTAGGAGCCAAGCAGGTGCACTTCCTACTTCACCACCACCCAGAGACAAACCACTCTCCTGGACAGATGGACTCTGTTCCCCAAGGCCAGAGGAGTGCCAGCTGGAGGTCACATGCCTTCAGAGGAGCCGGCCTCAGGGTGAGGGGCTGGAGGCCCAGAACAGTGTTCAGACTTGCTCCAGGCCCACAAAGGAAGGAGACGCAAATATGGGACTGGCCTGTCTCCTGGGAATCTGTGGCCTCAGGCCAGCATGCCCCAAGGGTACCATGGTCCCAGGGCTGCAGGAGAGCAGGGTTTGGGGAGCAACACTGAGTGAGCACTGGGTTCTCCACAGAGCTTCTCAGCATCTTGCAGATCCAAGCAGGGCTGGAAATCCCTCCAGTCCTTACCATGCTTTTGTGAGAATTAGATAAAAAGCCCCCAGGCCCCGCTGGCAAGCAGCAGCCTGCTGGCTCCCTGCCCACTCATCCCTCTGCTGGGCTTCCTTGTGTGGGGCTGCCATGTTCTCAAGGGAACACCAGGCAAGTGTGTCTCAAAGGTATTTGGCCACAGAACTACTTTCTTCCAAGTGTTCCATGAGACCCTGCAGTAGCTGAGGGGGGCCTCCTAATGTCCTTCATGCTGGCCAGCCCCTCTGTCCCACTCCCCGCTTCACAGGGGGTGGTGGTAGGGGCTGGTCAGGGCTGCCCTGCTCAGCGGTCCCCTGGAGAGGGCAGCCTGCTTCTCGCACTCCAGGAGCACAACTCACCAGCCAAACCTTCAAATGCACAGCTCTTCTCATCAGCTGGGGACCAGCATCTCCATCTGTACACATGTGCTCCTTCGGGAAATGTGTTAAGGTGCCACAGAGGATTTGTAATGTCTTTTCACACGAGGCTCCCAAAATCCATCCATCTGCTTCCACCTCCTGGAAGCCAAGAGGTGTCTTGAAGCTCTTCCTGGAGTCACGTTCTGGAGCTGCTCTGGGCTGGCTCCGCTGGCCAGGGGTCCACAACCTGCCTCCCCATTCAGGACTCAGCATCACCGTGGAGCTGTCACAGATGCAGGGGCAGGAGGAAATGGGGGAACCCTGGATTAGGGGCCTTCCTCCAAACAGGAGCTCTCAGACCTGACCAAATGCCCCTGACCTTGCTAGAAAGGTGCAGCAGGGCCCCATCCTCAACATCCTGCCTTGGCAGCTGCAGGTGCTGCTCTGGGAGATGGCATCAGAATGCAGATTGGAGACTGGGCCATGGCACTGATGGGCAGCCCATCAAACATGCAGAGGGGACAGTGAGGAGCCATTCAGGGAGACGAGGGTGGGGACACAGGGCATGGGGGCAGTCACCAGGGCATCCTCAGGGCAGAGGGCCCAGTGAGGCCCACGGCAGCTGCAGGGCTGGAGGATGAGCCGGAGGTCAGTAGAAGGCTGCTGGCAGGTAACTTCCCCAGAGATAAAGTAAGTCAGGAAGTAAACCAGGCACCCAGAAAGAGCCTAGTGAAGTATCTGTGGGGGAGTGAAGGCAGGAAGCATGAATGGAAAGATGAGGGAGACCCTTTCCCACACAAAGCCCTCAGCACCCACCTGTCACCTGTGCTACCTGGAGAATAGACCAGTGCACAGCGGGACAAGGACAGGGTGGATGTCCTTGCACAGCCTGGAGAGCCTCCACCTCACAGCCTGGAGGGGGGAAGCTTCCTGCAAGTAGAGAAGCTGGAAAGGCCCATCAACAAGGGGCCATTGCTTCACGGCAACAAAAAGTCCTGAGTCATCCTTTTTATCTGTGACTCTGCCAAATGTGTGCTAAAGGTAATACCAAGAGTTAGCAGCGCAAGGGAGGAGGCCAGTGTCCCTGATAGGAACAGGAGAGAAATGGACAACAGAGTGGTTTCCCTGAGGCACCTCACAGGAGAACAGCCACTCCTTGGCAGCAGCCATGGTTTAAAGTACAACACATCTGCATGTGTGTGTATGTGCACATGGGACCTTATGTGGTGCACATGTATGTGTGTGAGAGTATTTGCATGTGATTGCTTTGTACACAAGTGTGTGTGTGTCATGCATGCACACACACACGTGTGCAGGTGCCTGCGTGCATCCATGTGCACGTGTATGCCTACTGGGCAGACTGGCCCATGCACAGAAAGGCTAACCAGGGCCTCTGCCTGTGCTGACCTCTGCCCTCCTCAGGCCCCCTTTTGCTCTTCTTTTCCTCACTATCTCGATCATGCATGAATAGCTCTGTCATCAGCATCACACAATGCATACTTTTTTTCTAACACCGGGCCTTAAGGTTTTAGTGCTCCTGAGGATGCGTGGTGGGAGGCAGTGCTGGACAGCCCACAGGGGGCCGGTCCTTGAGCCCAGTCACAGGCTCCTGAAGAAGGGAGACCTGCTTCTGCCAGCAGGGGTGCAACAAGAGAAGGAGGGCCCCCAGGGCATATGGGGCAGCAGGGAGTGTCAGAGAAGCCTGAGGACCCTCCTGGTTGGGTGTCAGGAAAGACTGCATCAGACAGCATGGCTGCAATGGGAGCATTACCCTCCAGACACCTGGGTCCTCAGAGGCAGCCTCTCCGCTCTGTGTCACATGGATCCAGAAGGCACACCAGGAACGTGTTCTGGTATGCCTTCCCAGCACTCATCGCTTCTCTCCCTACACCTCGCTAGCTTCCTCCAGCTGACAGACCAGAAGGCCCTATGTGGGACACACTGCTGGAGCTGATTGGCAGCAGGCAAGTGGATCCCTGAGCCAGCCTGACAGATGGCCTCTTCCCTGCACAGGCTGGCTTTTATTGTCTTGGGAATATGTCCTCCACATCCAAGACTTACGTTATTTCCCACCCTCCAAACTATCCTTCTCCTTCCTCCTCTGCACCCAGTACCTTTCAGGTCCTCCCTGTTACCTCCTCCAAGAAGCCCTCCTGACCCTTGGAGCATCCTCAAGGGCTTCACCTTGGACTGCCAACCCTCTCATGATGTGCATCCTCATCTTCCTCCCCCCACCTCTCAAGGAGGGCTAGTGGCTCCCTGGAGTGCCTCACTGTGAGGATTAGAGCTGTCTGGGCTCCATGAATTGACTATTCTGTGTTAGATTAGTGATGTGAGGGTGCAGAGGAATGAAGCAGAAGGCCCTGGGTCTGCAGCCCTCTTTCAGCTCCTCATTGGAGGGTTTGTCAACAACTGGCTGGTAATTTGCATTCCTAACTAGACTATTCAGTCATTCATTTTTTAAAATGAACATTTAACATGTGCCAAGTTCTCAAAGACATGGTTCCTGTTCTCAGGGTTTATGAACCCTCCCTCTCAGGAAGGTCAAATGGTAAACAAGCAAACAAAGGAATAAAATACAACTGGTGGTAAGAAAGGAAATAGTATAGAACCTGTGGGTCAGAGGAGCCTCTGTGGGCAGGTGGGCCTGGAGCTGAGATTGCGATGCTGGGTTGGAGCCAGCCTGTAAAGGTGCCAGGAAGAGTGTACCAGGTGGGGGCTTGGCAAGCACAAAGGCCCCGAGGCTGGAAGGAGCTTGGCACAATCAAGACCCAGAAACACTAGGGTAGGGGCCTATAGTGAGGGTGCCTGGACACATAGGGCTGTCCTGGGAATTCCCCAGCAGCAGAGTGGCTGAGTTGGTGTCTGGAGGGTTAGAGAGAGGAGTGCTCCCTGGGAGGCTTTCACCTTCGAGTCCTGAGCAGTTCTAGAGCAGCTGGGGTATCAGCTTTAACCCTTTGGGGCTGACTGGACAGTAGCTATTCCCAACTGGATGGAAGCACTTCACTGTTTTAGACCATCCTAGCCACAGTGGGCAGGGCTGGCCACTCGCCAGAATAACTATAGTCCAGAATCCATAAACAGTCCCTCCTAAGATGAAAGGATTCAGTGCCTGCCCAGCGACTGTGGAGCAGGCCCCAGCACAGGTCACTGTGTGGCACAGGGATCTGTGTGCAGGTAGTGGACCAGCACGTCTGTGGGCCTCAGTTTCCCCATCTGAACTGGAGATCTGATCCTTTCAAATGAAGTTCTGAGGCTTCCGGGCAGTGAGGTGGAGCTGGCAGTGCAGGCTGGTAGGGTGAGCAGGCCTGGTTGAGATGCCTGGGGCCAGCGCCCTCCCACCACACCCTCCTTGCATTCTCGTGGTCTCCTGGTCTCTGTGTAGAAAGGACTCAGCTGCGCTGTTGCCACCCCATCCACCACTGGCTCTTGGTCACTGGGGCCATGTGCCGTTGGTGTGGACAGAACACACCCAGGCCCATGCAGGGTCCCCACACATCTCTGCACCCCTCACCTCTGGTCCCAATGGGCAGCACTCATGGATCCAAGCCAAATCCCCCTTTGCTGCCTGCTGGTGTCTGCAGTGTCCTGGCCCAGCATCCACTGCTGCCCTCACTGTTAGTGCAACTGGCCCAGCCCTCCAAGGGGAGCGCATGGTGCTACCTACACCTCCTATGCCCTCTCTGCCCTGTTTCCCTGCCTGTAGTGGGACTGGGCAAGGTGAAGGCTGTCACCTGCTCTGTGAGTACCCACAGGTCAGCCAGGTAGGGGCTATCCTGGGCATCAGTCCTGGTGAGGCCAGTGTCACTGAGAGACCCTGGGCCCCATGCCCTCCCTGCTCTGTGGGGGAGGGCCCAGGAAGCCAGAAAGCAGTGGGATCACTGTAAAGTGCTGTGCCCCATCACAAACACGTCTACTCAGGTTGTCCCAGGAATCAGGAAGACCCAGGGGGACCTGTGACCTCCTAGGAATTCTCCAAAGAAGGTGTTGTGGGGCTGGGTCAGGGACCACCTGCCCTCTCCTCTCCACAAGGTTACCTGGCTACTGTTTACAGTTCTTGGGAGAGGCTCTGCCAGAGAACTCACATTTGTATTTGGGGTCCCCTGATGAGTGTGTACATGCATGTCGGGGATCAGGGAGGCAGATCCTGTGGGGGAAAGCGTCAGGACCAGCCTGGCCTGGGCTCTCCTCCTCCTTAACTGCAACTCCCAGGGGCCCTACCCCCACCCAGCCCTGCAAGAGTCCTTGGGAACCCCTCACATGCACAGCCTCCAGCCACCAAGACATTTCTGCAAGCACACGTGTCCCAGATGGCCTCTTTGAGGGGAGGAATAGACATTCATCCTGCCATCACTTGGGCAAAGGCACCCCAGGCCCCAGCCCCGTATGCCATGGGCAGCGATCTAGGCCACACAGCCCCAACCCTGAGGGCCTGATGCAGGTACATTTACATTCTGCCTTCAGGAAAAGGTTTTCCTGGTAGCAGAGCATATGGTCTCCTACACTTGAGCTTTTTGATCTGCTTCACTGACTTCAAATACTTTGGGCAGTTACAGTCCACTCTTTGACAGTTCACTCATATTTTATTCTAGGCTTGAGGGAGAGTTTGTATCCTTCCTCTGGTTTCGTCATTCACTGATCCCATCCCCATATCTCACACAGTCTTTTGGAAAAGGTGCAAGGGCCACTCTGAGGGCCCCGTGGGCTCTCCCCTAGTCCTCTCCCTTTTGGCAGGGAAGGGCTGTCTGTAAGAGACAGGGAATCCCTGACAGCAGTGGGACGTCTGAGCAGGGGAGGGGCCCTGGGGACTCTGAAGGCGCACCCAGAGGGGAGGCTGGGGAGGCTGGGGAGTTTGTGGGCAGGTGCTGGGCCTCTCACAAGGAGTTAAGCCCTCCTCCCAAGGGAGGGCTGCAGCTGCCTGCCCATGAGCATTTGCACACACCCAGTCTGTCTTGAGCCAAAGAGAATGATGCCACGGGCTGATGGGAAGGGACCTGATGCTGGCTGCATGTGAGGTGGCCTGTGTGTGCAGAAGCATATGCCTAGAGCAGACACAGACCTTCCTGGCAGGGTTCATTCACAGTCATCTCCAGAATTATGGCCTCTCAAAGGACGCTATACCCTCTCCTCTTGCCCCACATAGCTGCAGTGCCCACTTCCTGGCTCTCTGAGTTGCAGCCCACAGCCAGGGCTGGATAGAACAATCCTGAGGATGCCTGGTGAAGTCACAGAGCTGAGACTTAGAGCACCCAACCCTGGCCTAGGGACCCTGTGGGAGGGAAA